AGCGGTTCCACTTTTCGATTAAGCTAATTATTCTGGAAAGCAGTAAACAGCTTGATATCGACATCATGTCACTGAGCACAAACTACAAATGTAACCAATACATGAAAGAAAGAAATTACCTGTGGGAAGTGTCATTCATGTAAAATATGGGTGGAGATGTATCCAGGCAGACAGCATGAAACTGATTACTGTCAGCACATGTCAATTGCGCAAAAGATTCAAAATCACGATTTTTTATAGCTTCTTCCATTTGCAAAACGCGTTGTGGCACAACTTCCTGAACATCAACAGAAAGAGCAACAAGATGAAGGGTCTTGTTCTTTGAAGATTCTTAGATGCTTTTCAGTGGGTTTCTGCTAGTCTATCCAAACTCAGAAAAGAAGAACAAAACATTGCACCCAAATTACAAAACGGCTTGAGGTTCAATTCATGTCTCTGCAATCAATATATGTTTTACCCACAGGAATTACAGTTTGTCACAAAACATCAGCAGAACATACCCTAGCTCTATGCCGTAAGAGCAAACTTGTCTCAACACTCTCACGCATTCCTGAAGTGCTGCTTGTTTCCTTCTGCCGTGAACTCACCTGGTTTAACAACAGCAATAAGATTTAACAAAAAATAGAAGCAAATGAATGATGATTAGAATTAGAAGAACATGGACATGACCGGGAAGTTGGAGAATGAGTAATCCTGAGATGAAATCTAAGAGTCACATGGAAGAAAGATTTGCAAGGTGCATACCACAGCAATGATAATAACAAGATCATTCCAGTGCTTCTCATCTGTCAGTTGAACTGCCACGCTGTCAGTTCCATCTTCTTTGTTTCCCATAGTCCACTTGACAAATCCACCAAATAAACTTCGACATGCACTTCCAGAACCTTGCCTATATGTAATGAAAATTTTCAAATACCAGTAACACCTAATTTCACGTAGAACCCACAAGTATACATGCTTAAACAACAAAACTCAAAACACCACAGAGGACTTACAGAATACAACTGACGCACAAATAATACTGATATTTAAAAGAAAATGTATCCAAACAGCAGCACATATGATGGACAAGGGAAGATACTATATAAAGTAATAAGATGAAAACACGAGGAAATCAAGTAACATAAGTTATACCTGGCTATAGCGGAAAGTTGGCTTTGATCTTCATTTACATTCATCAACTTTGAAAGAGCAAATACTGTATAAAAAGAGCAGTTTACGTGTACTATGTTTAGTTATTTTTCAAAATGCATGGTCAATCTTAAAAGCTAGCAAGCTCCTTTGCAATAATGATAAGAAAGTAAAAGTAGAAAGTGGTGATGTCACCGAAAAGTTGAAAAATCAATATGACTTTAGACATGCATAATAATACCAAGGAAAAAAGAAACAAAGGAACTGGAAAAGAGAGCACTGAGCTCCCTCGGTTATTCCTTGGCTTTTGTTTTGTCAATTTATGTTTGTGGTTGCATTTCAGACCTTCATTTTAAACCAGGGAAAGACAGCATATTGAGCTAGAGAAACTGTGATAGACAAGAACCATCTGGAGATCATCATGTAGCACAAATGTCCGACAGCCAAAAACCAAGTCTATCTTCATACCCGCAGTACCTATTTCTTCTAAAAGTTATTTTCAACTTGCAAGAAATTATCTAGAAAATGAAAATTCTCTGTGGTTCCTTCAATATTGATTGGAAATTGAAAGATTTCCAAATATGATTCTGCAGCTCACATAAAGGCACAGCAAAACAGAGAAAGTAAGTAGAATACCTAGACAGGCAAATCCAGCCGCTGAAGATGCTAAACCAGCAGCAGTGGGGAAGTTGTTGTAAGAAGCAATGTGTAGATGCAATTTCTCCCAATCTTTCTTTTCAATCTTGACACATTTTCCTTTGTCTTCCACATCGCAGGCACGAGTTCGAATTTCCCTTAAACAATTTTGGAACCTACTTCCGGAAAGGGAGATTTCCTATACTAACCAGGGGAAAAAGAAAACCCATGAACCAAACCGATTGGAATCATCATTCTAACCACAAGAAACACCAAATCATAATTCTAAACAAGCCAAAAGAACCCTACTTATACAGAAGAAATCCGAACTAGCTATTACGTCTTTCAAATTGCCGCCGTTGAACTGTAGAAACAAAGAATGAAGCGAACAGACATTGAAACATTTTCGTCAATTCTTTTCCAGTATGCATCACGAGCTCCTCCATTTACGAAATAGCGGTATAAGATCATACAATTCTACCTAACAAAACCACATAAACATCTCTAGAGACATGGATCAGGGATCAGAGCTCAACAAAAATGGATCACAAGACGCTCTGAAGAATACCTTGCCATTGAGCCACATTCGATCGCGATCAAACGCGGGGCTGACAGCGGCGGTGGTGACGGTGCAGAGATGATCGGGATCAAGCGTCACGCTAATGCTATCGTTGATGGGTAGGATGCGAGACTCGTCTCTCTTTCCCCAGTACTTGATCACGGCGATGTTCGTCGGCGTCTGCGCCGTCACCATCAACACCCATGGTTTCTCCGCCGCCATGTCCACAGTCGCTCGAGATCCCAAAACGCTAATCGCTCCGTCTCCGGAGATGCAAAACTCTCAAATCGATGAGACGGGGAACTCGAAAGAAAAGAGACGCATGGCGGAAGGGAAGTCGGACCGGGGAGATTAAATAAATAGTTAATTTCTTTTCTGGTCAGAAATAGAAACGTTTTAATTAGTGCCGAAAACGAAGCTAAAAGAAATTATAAAAAAGTCGTCCAAAATGTAATGTTATTTATAAAAAGATGATAACAGATTCTCCACCGCTTCACAAACTTAAATAAAGTGAAACAGTACACGAAAAATACCATGTATAATACTCTAGCTTTTGAGGAAATAAATAGGAAGAATTTCCGAAAAATCAGCGAGTTATAATAAAAATATTAAATTTATAAACTTTGAAAACATTACATTTATGTTATATAGATTAAATAATGTTATATAGATCAAGCTTTTAGTGTCAAAAGTTTAAAGAACATAAAAAGACACACCCGTCCATCCATTTTGTGTAGCAACTGAACAAAAAGACACGTGCCTGTAAAGATTTGGCTGGCAGGAAAAAACCCCTCGAATGCAATGGCTGAGGATCTCGAAACATCGCTCGGACAGTTCTTCGAAGGAGACGCCGTAACTGAACCAAAGCTGTAACAGTTGGGTTCTGCATAACCAAACCACAGTGACACCAGAAATCTAACCCAACGCCGAAACAGCTGAACAGAAGATATCCCAGTGGCAAACTCGTAATTGGGACCACTTGTCGAGGAGCCATGAGCTTCTCGAACCCAACATGATCCCTCGCTCAAGAAAAAACCGAGAGATCAAAGTGGGATCTTTTGATAAAATTACTTAATGTTACCATTTCCAAGTTGAGGCGCCAATTCACCAAGGCCTCCTCCATTCAGAATCAATATTTTGATTCCGAAGGAAGGTTATAGTAAGCAGACCGATTCGAGTCAGTTATAAAAAAAAAAAAAAGTTGGGACAGAAATAGAATCAAATCAAATCCGTCCTTCGACTGCAGTTTCCCATCGTTGTAGAATCAGAGGACGGTGGGCTTAGTCCCGTTAATAGCCGGGACGCTGCCCCTCGTCGCCTTCACGTACGAGACGTATTCACTAAAATGCATGGTGAACACCGTACTCTGGTAACGGGTCAGGTGGATACACCTGCGCAGGGACTCCGTTATGTGACCGTTGTAACCCGCTTTACGCATCAGCGAATTTATCGCCTCTACCTTTGTCCAGCCTGAAACCCCGGAAAACAGAGCAAAGCACGCGTTAGAAACGCAAAAACAGAACAGTGCAATGCTCATGAAACAAGAATCCGAAAGAGAGATATGCCTTGCTTGAAACATTGTACCAAAATATATATACACTATTTACCTTCATGAGCCGGTACCTCAGGCAAATATGTTCCATTTCGCCTTGTATTATGCTCAGGATCAGTGAATTCAATGATTATCCCATGCTTTCCAACCTTCAGCAACATCATGAAATAGGGAAGTGGAAATACAGACCATCACATAGGAGAATTTGACAAATCAAAAGCAAATGTACTTAGCTGTTGTTAAATTTTGATGGAAATGCGAAGAAAACAATACCTCCCAATCATGATAACCTTCTGCAATTTCATAGTCAGTCAGAACCGAAACCGTGCATTCCAGAAATGGCAATTCTTTAGGTTGTATAGGTGGGAACCTACGATCCCTCAGGGCACTGCAAAGTTACATAAGAACATGTCTTAAATCGACATCGGCATTAAAACAAATCACAAAACAAGTAGATCATCAGATATACAACAACCATCACAGAGAATATATTCAGCTGCTCTCGAAATCAGTTTCAACAGGTCTCATCTTATTATTGTGTTGAAAATTCTGGTATAAAATGTTCCCTATTTTCGCTGGTTTATGCATTTCATTTGTGGGTTCAAGAGAGAATATCTAAATCTTATAAGTCAGGTACTCCATAGCTAGCTGCAGCTTTTCCATGTTATTGATTTGTAAGGACCCTATTGCTGCTGATCTTTATATTCAGGAGAAAGACTACAACAACTCGAAGAAACACACAAAATTCAAATATAAATGCTCAAGGTTCATGTTGCAACAGCGAGAAAAAATCACCGAGTAAACTAGCATAAGAAGAACAGTGATTCAAATCTTGATAAATGTGATGTCAATCTTGGCAAACCCATGTTCAAAATTCCTCTTTTTATACTTTCTATTACCACCAGGAGCGGGCAAGAAACATCTATTTGAGACCAAAACGTATTCACGAAATAATGAAACAGAAAGTAAAAGTGTAATACACTATAACGCTTCAAGATTTCAGATCCACTTGAAAAGACTCAAAAGTTCTCACTAATTAGATGAGACAAAGGTATTTTATAAATGAATATTGAACAAAGAAGCAGTTCGCCAACATCTGGAGGTGACAGGAAACAACATCGAAAGCAAAAACAATTGAACATTTGAAGAAAAATAATATCGTGAATTTGGGATCCCTCTTGTAGGAAGTAAGGCTATATCATACCTGGTCAAGGCGTAATCTTTGAAGCCACTAATTAAGTGACGAGCTTCCAATGTACCAATGCATCCACGCAATCGAGGTTCTCCGCCATTCACTATTTTCTTCCAGGTGACAAACAATGGACTATACAACAAAGGCATTTGATATCAGCTCAGATAAGAAGTTAAAAATACATATAGTTTGTGTTCTAGTAGCACCATCCAGTTATTCAACAGTTCAAAACAAAGTATCGAAAGATGATATAAAGGATATGCTCATTGCAAATCATTGCTCCAAAATCATTAGAGAAAAGCATGCAGAGGATGTGCCCATTGCAATCTCTGCCTTACCAGAAGATGAAAAGAAAAAGAAAACAAAAACAAAAAGGAAGCATAACTATAAAAGACGTTTACAAGTTTACAACACAAGAAAAAGAAGCCTTTACAAGCATAGGAGCTGGCAATGAATAAACATTAAGGCCTTGCTCATAACTTCATATCCAAAACAAATAGAAACTATAAACACATAGACGCATTCACATGTGCAAGGAACAAAAACCGGAAAGCACGGTGTCTGGGCGTATCTTGAAAGGTATGATAAAAATAACAAACGATTAGCTACAGGTGAATGGTCATCTTGAAAGAGGAAGTTTATTCGAAGCCTAATCCTCAAGCCAAGGCAACTTGAGAGTCCAACACTGGGTAAAAGAGGAGGCATAGCAAAGAAACACAAATTCAACAAGAAAAGACTGCGAAACAAAGGATCTATGGATGGCATTGGCAAACAAATCTGCCTCAGAACAGGAGCTGGATAGTTCAACTATACCCGTGGCTCCATAAAAGAGGTCATCTGCAAAAGGGTCAAAGATTTCTGTACCCAATTTCTCCCTAACGAAGAAAGTCGTAGAGAACATCATCAGCAACATCAACATGGCCTTAATCCCACGCATGCATGCATCATAATCAAAATAAAAATAAAAAAGGCAAAAGAAGACGCACTGATGGGCCTCGTCAAAGACAGGGGGAGGAGTCTCTTCGCTGTTGTAGTGAGAGACCAAAGTGTCAAAACAGTAAACCGCCATCTCTCTGTTCGCCGACACCATTTTTGTCTCTGAACTGAAGCTTCTCCAACTGGTCAACAGCTCAAGAGACAACCAACCCAGCAACTAATTATACCTAAAAGAACCAGAGATCCTTGTAAGCAACATGTCCGAGGATATAATTCCAAATCAGTGCGTTTTCTCGCAGTTCATGCGATTGAAACGCACAAATCGACTTCTTTCAAGGAGATCGAGACAGGCCCCAGAAATCGAGGACAATAGAAGACCCAGTAAAAATCTTTGAAGTGCGAAAATTAGAACACCTGATCGCGAGGGAAGACGACGAAGATCAGAAAAACGCAATTCAAGTGCGAAAATTTCCTATTTTCTCTAGGACAATAATTCGAAACAGAAGAAAACTGAAAGGGCATCGATCTATCGAAGGAATTGAAAACCCAAACAGAGAGCATGTAGAGAGAGAGACCTGAAGCTTGAAGGGTTGGAGTTCCAGGAAAATACATAAATTAATCAATAAATAAACTTTCAAAATCATTTTCGGATTCCACCAACATTATAATGAGTTAAAAAGGAATTGATTATAAAAAAAAAACCCCTTTTTTCGCTTAATTTACTGTTTTCATTCAATGATTATCCACGAATAAATTATAACGACTAAATGTTGAATTTTAACCAAAATTTTAAATTAAATAGTCAACTATTTGATTTTCAAATTAAAATATAAACTATATTTAAACTGATAAACAAAAACAGAACTTTCTAAATGTTAACATAGTCCAAAATCTGAAACCAACGTTAAATTAGATAAAGTGGTTATGACATGTAATGCTGTAATGCTACATCAGATGCTATATAAGTTTTTTGTATTTTTTATAAATCCGGTTCAATTGGTTAAAGAAAACCGGTTTAATAAAAAAAAATAAACTGTAACAACTTAACCTAAATAAAATGTGATTAACCTAATCCGTGTTTTACTCTTTCACATTAATCGTATTCACCGTCGGAGAGAACCAGTAATCGAGATACATAATTCGAAATCTCATTACATAATTCGAAACTTACCTCAACATAGGGTGTGATGATTAAAAATAGGGTAAGTTTCGAATTATGTGATGATATTTCGAATTATGTGTCTCGAGATTGGTTTTCTTCGATGACGACACGATCTGTGTGAAAGAGCAAAACACGAATTAGGTTAAACACACTTTATTTAAGTTTGTTACGGTTTATTTTTTATTAAACCGAATTTCTCTAATAAATTAAACCAGATTTATAAAAAAATAAAAAAATACTTATATAGCATCTGATGTGGCATTACACGTTATAGCCACATTGTAATAACCCGTAAATTCGACTTTCAAACCGAATTTTAGAAAATCAAATATGAGCCATAAAAAATGTTCCTAAAATATTGAATTAGACCCTAACCAAGTTGACCCGAATGATTGAACCGAAACGAGCGAGAAAATGGGCGGAAAAGAGGTCAGACCGTCCGGTCTGGTGGGCAGACCGTCCGGTCTGGGTCGAACAGTCCGTTCGAACCGCAGAGTCAGTCCGTTCGGACTGAGCCTAGCAGTCCGTCCGGACTGCACAATCAGACCGTCGGGTCTGACGGGTTCGGACCAGGAAAACGCTGCGACTTTCTCCGCTCTTCCGCCTCTTCCGTCCTGTGGCCACCTCCTGCTTCCTCTGGGGTGTGAAATCACGCCTAACCCCGCTCATTTCCACCACTTTCACCTCTCACTTCACTCTCTCACTCTCTCGCAACTCTCTCTCAAAGGTCTAAAACTTCAAGCGTCGATTGGAGCTTCGATTTCGGTCGAAATCGATCATGGAATACAGAAATCAACACTACAGAACATCCCCAACGAAACCCCAAGCTCGAATTTGAGCTAGGTGAGAGTTTCGGATTATGCCGAAAATGATAATCAAATTGAAAATGGAGATTTGCATGTATTGAATGCAAATTGCATGAAATTGATCTTAGATTTGAGTTTCTGATGTCACAAAGATCATTTTGAGCTATAGTTTGTTGAATTTGGTGCGAAAATGCGAAACCCGAAAGTTCCTGGTTCGCCTAGACCGACCGGTCCAGGTTGGGACTGTTCGGTCTAGAGTTGCAGGGTTTCGGAGAAGAAGACGAAGCTGGAGCGTCCGTTCCAGTTCGCCAGACCGTCCGGACTAAAACCCTCAGTCCATTCGGACCAGAACCCACGGACCGTCCGGACTAGACCTTCAGTCCGTTCGGACCGGAAACCACAGACCGTCCGGACTGGAACCCTCAGTCCGTCCAGACCGGGATGGGCAGTCCGTCCGTTCCGGATCTCTGTCTCCCCGTCTTGGCTCGTTTCTTCGGATCGAGCGGGATCCGATGCTACCGACCCCTATATGTGACCTACCATGACCCATTCCTTACCTGTATTTCATGAAACTCGAATGAAACCAACCTACGGTAAGTAAAACCTTCGGAACGAGATGAATTGGTAATCCGAGATGGTCGGAACCCAATTTGATCGGATCGTAGGGTAAAAGAATAGAATGAATATAATGGAAACGAGATATCCAAAATGACAAGTAAGGACGTATGTATATACGATTAAAGTATAATGATATATGAGTGCGTGTGATTGGGGGATCGGGTAGTTGGTATGGCGTGAGACTTTATTCCGGAGGGCCGGGATAAGGTTGAGCGTGTGATTATAGCGGGTTGATGTGATATCCCGATGATTGCATTGGCTGAGATCTCCTCTTTGTGATCTCCGACCCGGGTCGGGTTTCATATTGAGGAGGCATGATTGTGATTAGTTGCCCACGGGCAGAGCTTGGAGCCGATGATACACGTAATAGTCTTGAGCGATTCGGCTATCACGGGGTTGATGAAATCTTACAGTTACACTGTAACCGCGCCAACGTTCCACTAGCTATGGAGCGGGTTCGGGATTGAGTGATTCTCCCGGCAGAAACTGGCAATACATTTACCCGTGACTCGGGATTGAGCGATTCTCCCGACGAGGTTATGCGAAGGAACTCAGAAAGACCTGAGCTCGGGTCCAATGAGTTTCTCCGTGGCGGACGGCCGGCGAGAGGTTGTCAGTTGTGTACTGACTTCGCTCGACATAGTCGGGGGGGGCCTGGAGTAGGCACCTGGCGCTCTGGTATCGAGAGGTGACATCGATATCAGAGGGGATGGTTGATGTTTATGTTTTATGGAGTAGGGAACGGGGCGATGTGTTTTATCATTCCGGCGTTGGCCGAGGAGAGCGGGGGATGTGCGTTGCACATGGAGAGTCCTTATCCACGGGTGTGATGCACACGTGGAGATGATGTGACGGTACTGATGTTATTGAGAGATCCGATGGGTCGAGCTATGACTGGTATATTTGTCCCGATCTGGTGTTACCAGATCCTTGCGGTATCCTATGTGTGCGATGCACATAGAGAGGATTTGACGGATGTGTCCGATGACTCGTCATTCGGACTGAGTGTGTATGATAAGTGATTACTCGTGCGATTGAGTGAACTGTGTTTGATGGCATGTAGCGTGTATATATGTATACACTTATATTTACTATGTGTATACTACTGGTTGTGTTTGGCCATTTGCAATTTGAGTATGATCTTCGGGTTTAACCCGAAGTACTCACTAAGTATGTAGTTTATGGACGTTGTTATGCAATGTTTCAGGCTCGGAGCAGTTTTGGCAGCGGCAGGACGAGGGTACTGGTGACGCGTGAGAAGTTTTCCGGATCATGTACTTTTCTTCCTTTGAACTTATGTTGGTTTGTACGGACGGTGACTAGACTTTGTATTATATCGAATTCACCGTCTTTATGTTGGTGTGTATACTACTGTACGTGGGTTTATTAAACATATACTTGTTTTCCGCTGCATGTGTAATAAAGTAAAATGTTTTAAATTCCCGCTATTTTAATATACGGTTTGAGTGTCCATGTGGCGCAACTCGTGAGCGGGACACGGGTTACGGGTGTCACACACATTTTTTAAATTTAACATCATATGACATTAGTTCGGATTTAGAAATATGTTAAAATTTGAAAAGTTTGGTTTTTATTTATCCATTTAAATATATTTTATATTTTAATTTGAAAATAAGAAAGTCAAGTAAACGTAAGCAGTGACGTGGCATACCCCCTCATTCCTTTCATGTCATTAAATATATATATTTTAAAATAATTATAATTTTATTTTAAATAATAATAAAAAATAAAACTATAATACATATTATATATACATACTGTAAGTCTGTAATACCGTACGAGCCGGTCCAGATCAAAATCGCGTTTCTATCAAGCTGGTTTGGTTTGGTTTATGTATATTTGAATCGGTTTAAAATCGAGCCGAACATGCCAATCCAGCCCAAAGGTTGAATGTTAGGCGATGCGGTGAGCTATATATTTTCAATCCTGTTCACATTTTTTAATTAAATTGAGAAAACCATGAAAATTAGATTTAAACCGGAAATTCTATTTTAATATAATAATAAATTAAACAATAAAAATAAAATCTATAATATTAATAATATTAATATTAATACATGTTAACTTGTAGAAATAATATCTAATTAACGATAAATCTATTTTTTCTTTTATTTCTCTTAAGTTCACTCTCTACAGTTTTATTTTAATAAATTGATAAAACAATGAATTTTAAAATTTTATGATATTATTTTAATTATATTGGTTACCATTTTTATAATTCTAAACTTGATTTTTAAGTATTATTATTTTGAAATATTTACTTTTTTTTTAAAATTTAATTAAAAGACAATAATATGTTCACCAATTCGTTTGGTTCGTGGGTTGAAAGACAAATTGGATTAAAAGTTAAAACAAACTATTTTTATTTAAACAGATTGAATTTGTTTGAACCGACAATCAAGAAACTCATGTAAGATTGGCTTGGACCGAACCATTCGGTTGTAGGTCCGAAACAATAATAATGAATTTGTTTCGGATATTATTTTGACGATTTCTATTATTTTTAAAGCTTATGTGATGAATTATTTTAAGTAGGGTTGGTTCTTCCAAACGAACCGAAAAATACAGTATTTTTTTCAATTCGAATCATTTTAAAATTTTAAATAGTATTATTTTTAGAAAACTGAATATTTTAGATCCGAACTGAATTAAACCGAATTTTAAAAAATCTTAAAAAACCGAAATTTTTTAAAGAAAATCTATCTTTTTTAAAAAACAGAACCAAATCGAATCAGAACCGAAAACGAACCGAATATAATATAAAAATTGATTGATACCTATTTTTTATAAAATCGAAAGACCAAACCGATATATTCTCTTTCTAAACTGAAACCGATTCTCAAAATGCAACCCCTAATTTCAAGTTCATTTTTTGGTGTTTAAAATGGAATTTTCCCGTAAATAAAAAAGGAATCGACCAAAAAAGAAAAAAAGAAAAAAAAGGTTATTCCTGCCTGGTTCCTTCCCTCCATTCAACTCGTTAAAACCCTAAACCCTTTGATCGCTTCCCGAAGAAGAAGAAACCATTCTCAGGAAGAAAATAATGCGGCCTCCATTCAACTCCTTCCATCCCCACCCGCGTCCACGTCCACAGCATCAGGTCTCTCTCTCTCTCTCACACTTACACGGAATTCTCCGTCGTATCATAGGTTGTTGCTGTTTCTTTTTCTTGCCTTTGATGGGTTTTCTTTCTCTGTTCACATTGTCTGTGTTTGCGATCTGTTTCTGCAGAATCTTCAGCGGCCCCCTAATGGGTTTCAGTACCCAATGCAATCTCATCAAATTGGTGTCACGAACCCACAGTTGATGAGCAATCCATTGACGGGTCACTTGAACAATCTCATACCCGGTATGCAGTTGCATCCCCAGTTCTTCAACAATCATCTCTCCAACATGGCTCAACAGCAATTCTCTTTGCCCTGCAATAACCTCAACCAGTTGCTTCCAAATCTCATGGGGAATCTTCAATTTGCAGTAGCTAATGCTAATCTTCTAGGTCACTCGCTTCCTTTGCTTCAGCAAAACTTAATCCAGCCTCTTCCTCCTCTCGACCTATCTGCTTTGGCTTCTTCTCAACCCCAACTCAATTCCTTTAACTCTCTTAGTTATCCTTCAATTCCAACGCAGAATAAAAATCACAACTTGCAGCCTCCTTCGGTTTTCTCAGAGCCCCAGTCACAGGTGATGATCATTGTTCCTCTCCTTTTTGTCTGAGTAGAGAAGTTCATGCTAGAGGGGATTTGATTGTAAAGTTTCTTCCTTTTTTTTTTCTTTTTGGGTGGCTAATACAGGTTTGTTCTCTATTTGTTTAAGGTTTCTGTAAAATCTGGTTTAAGAAATATTATCTGATAATGGGCCTTGTTGCAATGGAGTTCGCCCTTCTCTGGTTACAAATCATTTTAGAACTTTGAAGTGTAAAATTTGTCTGAGAATGAATTTAATTTTCCGCAGGGGCAATCTGTAAATACTTTCAGCAGCAACAACGGCATTTCGAGCTCAAAAGGGAATGCATTCCAGAATCGATTTCCAGAAAATTCGAAATTCCGAGGCCATGGTCAGGGGTACGTTTCTACTACTTCCATTCTGTCTCGCTCAGACATCTTTTAATTGTCAGAACTGGTAGAAATCTTGGTTGTGGTATATATGTTCTTTGCTGTTGTAGATCCCAGAGATCTCATTTCGATCAAGCAGATAATGTGAAGAGAAAGTTCGGGTTCTATAAGGATCACAAGGGGAAAGGTTCGTTATTTATGCTTCATATAGCATTAGAAAACATACTTCTTTTACCTCTTACAGCTATGTGGCCCTCTATCTTTTTCAAATCATAGGGTAATATGTATATTCCAGGTTGATTGTGTTTGATGCATTTGAAATTTCGAACATGAAAGGAGTTGTTGTTTCCTCTGATTCTCTCTGTGTCTTCCTTGAACAATTTCAGGGCAATACAATAAGATGGTATCCAGACCCAATGGTCCAGATCCTACCAACTCAGTAAAGGAAAATAAAAGGTATTGAGTAAAATGCTGTTAATGTTTATTGTTTTTTCTCAAGTTAGCTTCCTGCAGCCTGCTTGATCATTTGTGATGATATTACGTGATTAATCCGTGCTTTTTCTGTATGATGCTATCCAGGCCTTCATGTTGGCCATAGTTTTATTTTTATGTTTTCTAACAGCTCGGTGGCGAGAATTTTGCTGCATATTAACACTTCTTAGCTAATTAGAAATTAGAATTCTTTCTGGTTTAATTGAGCATTTTGTTTTTTGTTTTTTGTTTTTTTTTTCATGAAGCATTATGACTTCATGCACTCATCGCCTTCCCCAATATCAATTGATACATATGAAAAGTTTCCCCGAGTCACGCCTTGTAATATGCACCAAACCAAGCATTAACTTGTATATGTCCCTTACTATGTTTTTGTTATGGTAAAGTATTCACTATGGAGTCCCAAAAGTTTGCAGCCTGATATTTCTGTTTGATGGTTTGGCTGCAGAATATTAGCAATATGTAGCTGGAATATGTCCCATTTATTTTCTTCTCTAATTAAGGAATCAAAGAACATGTGGCTGAGTTCAAGCAGTATAATCCTGGTGTACATTTCCTAACTAATTCTTGGGATTGTCTATTGGTCTTTATGAATTATACTGACTGTTTTGCTTGTGATTATCATTGGAGCGGATGCCGACTTGTTGGGTTGAGTCTTTAATGTTTTTTCCTTTGCATTTCTCTGCCGTGTTCTTTTTCTTTCACAAACTTTGGATGTGAAGCTCAATTGCTTTGGTCTATACGGACAAAGAAATCCGACAATGGCGTGAAGAGCGCCGTAAAAACTACCCAACAAAAGTCAATGTTGAAAAGGTTAGACCAGCTTCGCGGTATGTTTTTCTATTCTTTTCGAGGCAAATAGTGAATGCCGGTTTAATTATATGCAGAAGCTTAAGAAAATTAGTTCTGATTGCAATGTTGATGAGGAAGCAAAAACGCGAAGCCAGGTACACTCTCATTTGATGTTTCTCCTTAATTTGGCTAGAGATGTTAAATCGAAACATATTTTTCTTTGATTTGAGGGGTAATATAATGGAAGATCCGTGAGTTTGTTCAGTGAAAACGCAAATGTTTCTTATACGAAAGACTCAAGGATGACACAAACTGTAATTTTTCTTAAGTAAATGTGTTTTGTCGAATCATTTAAAACCTTAAACCCTAATCTCTCCTATAAGTCTGTGGGATATTATCAAATTCAAAATTGTCAGAGAAGTGGCAGGTTCATGTTTTCTCCAAGTTCATTACACGCGAAAGGTTAACCGGATACATTTTCGAGTCAATACAGTATATACACGTATTCTTACCTAGTAGCATGTGTTATTTTCTTTTTGCTGCAGCAACTCAAGGAGATTTTGGCGAAGCAGGCGGAGTTGGGTGTCGAAGTTGCAGAAGTTCCGTCGTATTATTTCTCGAATACAAGTGAAGAAGTTAGTAAAGATAAAGTGGACAATGGGCAATTTGTTAGGAGCCAACAGGTTCATAACAGACATGATAGAAAAGGGAGATTTCAGAGTAGAAATGGTAAGAGGAGACATGGTGAAAATGATAAGTTTAGCAAGAAACCGAGGTTCCAAGACAGAAATTCAGCCAAAGAATCTTTCGTGAATACGAGGAAACCTACGCTTCTCGAGAAACTCCTCAGTGCAGATGTTAGAAGAGACAAACACAGGTTATTACAGGTCTTCCGCTTCATGGTAATGAATGAGTTCTTCAAGGAGTTGCCTGAGCAACCTTTGAAGTTGCCTTTGGTTTTGGTTGAAGATCATACTGGGAGAGACTCCTCTGGTCTCTGTAAGGATACCGCAACTGACACGTTACACGAGGATCAACAAAATCATATTGATGATGATGATGATGATGATGATGATGAATGATTTGAGAAAGAGAATGACGACCAAGCTGCTAGATGAATGAACGAGAAATCAAAGAAGTTTCAAGCAAGAAGGGGACAAGACATAATGGTAAACTCGATTTTTGTGAGCAGAAAAGTATATATACAACTTTAGATGTGTGTATATGCCGTAGATTTAAATGTGGTGTCTAGAGATAGGGTGTTTTTAAGGGTTGAGAGGTTTCATTGATATTTGCAAACAGATTGAAGAAATATTCGAGAAGAAATACAAATCATGGAAATCGAAAAGCTCAAATGTGACCAAATGGGTTGGTGGCTTTTCGGTTTCTATGCCTTGGATTCTTGATGAACTCACAAAATTGAGTTCACTCACTGCAGCAAAGTGTTGCAAGTTCTTGTAACAATTCTGATGGGTCGGAAGATCAATGTTGTCTTATTGACGGGTGATTGTTTCTGAGCTCTAAATTCAGCTGTAATGGTGACATTCTTTCAGTTGTTTTTATAGCCCAACAAATATAATTTCTATCTCCATGTTTGGATTTCGTTTTTATTATTTAGGATTTACTTTTTTTACAAAATAAAATATTTTATCCCTTTTACATTATTTTGGCTATTTACACAATTTTGTTAAAGTATCCAATTCTCTGTGATCAAGCATGTCAGCGGTGTCTAGCGGTGATGGAGAGGATCTCTGTCGACGATTTGCAGGTTTTGGGTTGTGAAACCAAAGGCCAAGCTGCAGGTGAGCGTCAACAATGGAAAACCCGAATGCGAGGCAAGCAGAAGTCTCTTGGCGCTGTTGCGTATAAAGAGAGGAAATGAGGAAGTACGACAAGCATAGGATGGATTTTACCAAACCCATATAACTGACCACATAGTCCAATCCATTGAGATATGATTCGGGAGTTCGACCGACTCTGAATGCGAGGTCCCGAGCCGCAAGTAGTAACCCTGGGAGTGCGAGAAACTCTCGTCACTCGTTGTTCTGCAGACCATCGGGCTATCGCAACCTCGCCCCATCGAGTATCCCAATACCGAGTGACCCGAGGAAGGCGCCCACCCCTAATATGTAGAATCTTGTCAAGAATAGAGACAAACAAATCGGGGAGAGACTGTGTTTCAGCATATTGTTGTGTTATTTCATCAAAAGCACAAACAGGTGCATATAACTAAATGAAATACATCAAATGTGCAGCTTAGGAGGCAGGCTCTGTTCTGTTTACATATCCCTCCATGTTCCAAACCAGAACCAATTCTGGTCTGCAAAACAATGAGAAAATTCAGACATTTCAGAAACATTTATTTTGCGCCGGACATCATCACAATTCAGATGGCATATCCCAACTGCTCCAACATGTCCGTTCCAACTTCCATGTAATCATTTCACCTAACGACGCTGTTGCATTCCAGTCAAAAGAGCTATCAAATTTGCTGGAACAAGCACTCTATGATGAATTCTGCAAGGAAATGCGGTTTTAGGACAAGTAACACGGGTAGAAAATGGAATCTCGGATACAACGATAGAGACTCGCCTTCCACCCGAATGTCGGGTTAATCCTAGAGAAGCCACCTTTGCTGCTCATTGTTAGAATATAGATAGGAAATAGATAGAAAATACCAATTGTATTACCAAACAGAGAGAAATACAACCTTTAACCAAGAGGCATACCCTCTCTTCCCATACAACAACCTAAAAGCATGTATGCACATAACATAACGTCCTCTGCATTTATTCTCTGCCAGGAATGTTCCTCTACTACTGCTCCTTTGCTGCTCCTGGCTTCTTCTTTGAAAACTGATCTGGCCCCACCTTTTCTGCTGCTCCTCCCCTTTCTTCTCGTTTCTTCTTCTTCCTCGCATCAACCCGGAAAGGCTTATCACTCATCTGAATGTGAATCATCTAACCACAATTGGTGAATGTGCATCCACACGGGCACTTTGTTTTCCTCGGTCACCTTGACTCAGTTCAGATCTAGAGTAGTTAAATACACTACATTATTCGAAAGACGAGTGAACCGGAAGCAATATTTTTACCTTATAATTTAGTAAGACTTTTGTTGAACAGGATCGGACATTCCCTTCTGCTGCATATTCAAAATAAAGGGAAAAACTTCAGCGGACAGAAGTAACCTTAAAAGATATTCCATGGAAAATGAAAATAAAGCAAACCAACATCTAATTCAATCGTTTTTGTACCTGTTCATGGTAACATAACAAATCTCAAACTTTGAAAACCTAAATCTAGATTAAATTCTAAATACATTCCCTAAACTTCCTGAAATTTAAACGAATAAGAATGCTTGCTACAAACAAGTGCAGACGACTTTAAGCAGTCACAGTTACCGCTAAAATCAGTTCCTGGCTCAAACAAGCCATGGTGAGATTCTGTGAAGCAGATATGAGCCGAAAAAGGGAATGACCAACTGGTGAAACTGACTTTTTATGGCTTGGATAGTTCTAATAAAACGAATCGATCCATTTAAGAGAGACAAGATGACGAAGGTCTTCATGAACTGGAATTCTTACCAGACATCTCATGCTTGTCAAATTTTGCGAGCCATGTATCTGAACCTATCTGAGAAGATGAAACTCCATCCAACCAGATGTGATATTGCTTTTCCTTCATATCCCCATGTAATTTTTCCATCTCATCTATGCATCCATATATTGGTTGCTCCTCTCCCGAGGGATGAACAAAGGTAGAGAGTGGATTCTGAAATGGAGAAAATCAAAACAGTCAAACCGGGTAATCAGTTTATAAACTCGAGCAAAGCCGGAACATGTACAAAATAATGATTTTCAGAATTCGGAAATACTTAGCTTCAAAATCTTATCGACACACTACACTAGCAGCATAATTTTCTATCTGGATCAGAGGATTCTACTCTGTGACAACTTCGTATTTAATGGAGGACCGATTCATGGCCAATCCTGATAAAAAAAAACTAGGGATACCATTCAACAATCTTTCCCGCAAATAACTTCTCGTATCCTCTCGAATAGACTATATTCTGATAATAAAGTGGGGATACCATATCAACAAAAAAAAAATAAGTTAATTAAGAATTTGCTATAAAACTAAAAAAAGAAATAACTCACAAAGTGTGATTTCAAACTCTGCAAACACTTGTCGGATTTCTCAACCTCTCCACGCCGCCATTTCTCATAAAACAAATAAAACTGCACCACCTCAAGAGCAGGCTCGTGATTTTCAATCCAGAATCCAGAAGAACCCAAAACATCCCTCGGGGACAGGCTTGGTCCCATATCAAATCTTTGAATGGCTTCTATGATACCAGCAGCACATCTCCCGGTTGCGTGAATTATATTGGGGTTGCTCTTTACATTTTCTTCATGCCATTGCAACAATTCGTCGTGTGAATTACCAACCTTAAACAGCAAAAGAGTGTAGCAGCAATATTATCTCAAACGCATATCAATTGAAACCAAGAATGCATTGAAGATTTTTTTTTTTAAATCCGGTGAGGAACTAACCATTACGCCATATGCTTGAGAAAAGCCGAAAAGTTCAGCATCATTTCCAGAGTCGCCACAAACTAGTATCTTAAGAGGCTCTCTGCCTTCCATTTTCAGCTTCTCAAGCAAATATGATAGAGCCCCTCCTTTTCCGGCTCCTCTTGGTAATACATCGAAAGCAAAGTCGTTACTATAAATCAGCTTCGTATCCAACTATAAAGAATGGTAGTCATCAGCATCAAGCCAAACACTCTTACACATCATACAAGAGGTAGACATCCTAACAAAATCTCACCCCACGTTTCTCTAGTCGTTCTGGAAGAACCTCCATTATTTCCATGGCTTTATCCCTTTCCACATTGAAACTAACTTTGTGACGTCCTTGGTTCTTCTCCGCCTGTAAATTGTAATAAACCCAAAGAAACGAAATTCTTCAGCACCATCACAAAGGGTATCTTCAGCTACATGATGATGATGATACAAAACCACATTCATTCTCCAAACCTTTTCAAGGACTGAAGTACTTAACTATTCAAATTTTTTCCTAAACATCTGTTGTATGTTCATCTTTTCACAATCGAATAGCTCGAATTCAGCGTCCTCTACATGGACGAATCCAATGCCCCACTCTAAGATCCACCCACTAGATCTCTAGAGCAACACAACCCCACAAACCCCAGATATCAAATTTTCTGACGACGGCACAAGAATTCGACGGTCACCTGGGGCTTGAGTTCCGGGAACTTGGATGTTTCTTCAACAACAATATCTCTGTCCCATTTATGGTCCAAAAGAGCCTCCCAGTCATCATCTATCAGCACAGATTGGCCGCTATACATAATCTCGGCACCAACAGAAGTTATGGCGATGTCGGGCGTCAGCAATGGCTTCTTCCTCCTCAAATTCGAGTAGGAAATCGACGACCTCCCGGTGGAGAAGACAAGCAGCGAATCACGGCGGAAGTATGCTTCCCAGAGAGCGTTGAATCGAAGGAGATGGGTATTGTCCGGATCATCGTGATCGACCTGTGGATTTGGGGTTTAGGCTTCATGCTCATCGATTAATAAAAAACCCATGAATTGATCGATTCTGCAAGATTTGGATCTAAGAGATATACCAGAGTGCAATCGAGGTCAGTGACCAGCATGAGATTTGGCGATCCGTCAAACCGATCCATGAGTTTTCAGATCTTCTCGAAAGAATCAGGTGGAATCTCTCGTTCCACCGGCAAAACCACGTCGAAAATTCAGGTGGAATCTCTTTCCTCATATTTGATAGTATATTATATTCATATGTTTTTGAAGGAAGAAAAGCTTCAACTTCAATCCCTCCAACGTGTCTGCAACTCATCGAGTTTTTTGTTGAGAAAAATAGGAAACAAATGGTTGTTATGAAACATAAAAATCAAATGAAAGGAGATAAAAGATGAAAGTTGTAAAGATGAAGATAAATACGTAACATAAAATCAAATCAGGAGTAAATAAAAGCTGAATTGTGGAGCAAATAGGTCAAATTGAATACGTAGAGATTTAAAAGAGAAAAATCTCTGTGAGATAAAAGAATACGGGTAAGGGATATATGAACTAATGTTGTCTAGTGATACACACGGGTGTGTAAGGGCTATTAGAATTTATTGTACAAGAGAATGTCTCATGAGAGTCATGGGTCATGCGTGGAGTTATACTTTAACAAAAACGAGTTATAACTAATATTCTTACAAATAAATAGAATCAGCTTTGGACAAGTGGAAAGATCTTGTGTTTACTTTTGTGTGGTGTATTCAAGTTTTTTCAATTGGAATAAGAATTGAACACTGATTGTAGAAATCGGTGTAAAAGAAAGGCAGATATATGGATATACAAAGGGAAGAAGATAAAAAAAAAAAAAGAGAGATTTCTAATCTCGTAGTATTTTTTGGAATCATCGACAAAACATATGATGAGAATGGATCAAAAAGTAATTTAAAAAAATGAGAATCGAAAAATAAGAGAGGTGTCATGATACATGTTCTAGAGTACTACCAAGTCGAAATACATCTATATTAAGTACTTTGTAGTTAAGAAAATGATACAAAGTGAGATTATTTCAATAGAACTATAGGCATAAGTTCCATGATTGCACATTCGTTGACTAAGGACATTCGACCCAAGGTTTTTTTTGAGTGCACTATCCACATAGGTGTTATTGCGGCTGATGAAATAGTGATTTAATGGAAGCTTTGTATCTATCGTTGTTGCTATTGTTTTATGTGGTGACATACTTAAATATGCGTTTTTAGTTTTGATAAAATAATCCTTCGTATCATTAGGTTTCAATATTTTTTAGTTGATCTCAATTGGGAGAAGTTCTCATTTGACTTCGTAGCATGATCAAAGTACAACCAGTGGCATACCCAAATATTTTTTTTTATTGAGGTACACATAAAAAAATTATATATAAAATGTAAAAAATTAATAAAAAATATATTGTCACAAAGATGTTTGTCATACAACTAAATTCTACCATCTTTCATTTTTAAAACCTATCTATAACATCTTCGTTTGTAACTGTATGAAATATTTCTTTTTCGATAAAACAAACTAGATAATCACTCAAAAAGTTCATCGCTGAAAAACTTCTCCCGACAGTCACGGTGGCAATAGAAAAAATCAAAACCAATTTCAAAAGTCTTTAGAAAAACATCTTTCTTATAACAATGGATAAGAAAGATTTTTTTGTTTTTATCATAATACGAGCAAGATCTCCAATATTAGTTAAATTAGAAAATCTGCCATCTTCTATCAAATTGTCGATGTAGATTCTGAGATCATGTCGAAGAGATACCTACTTCAAAAAACTAAAGTCTTAACCCATCCAATTTTACCAAATTTGTTAAACTCACGAAATTAATCAGTCAAACTCAAAGTTGCCATGCAATGAGCAATTATGAATTTATCTCATCAAATCAATCATTAAATTCTTCAAACTGCAAAATCCATAACAGAATAAAAACAATCATCTGATAGTGATGCAAGTTGCTTAAACTGTTTTTTTTTCTTGGTCTACTTGAATCTACATAATTTTCCTCCACATTGTGTTAGAAAAAATCGAAATAAAAACGACAACACATATGTACCCGATATGATATAATCTTCAACCTCGTATCTTGTATGAATCTAGAATCTGGATATGACTTTGACTCTGTAACACGTATAAACGGTAGAGAATCCGGATATGACTTTAACCCTGTAACACGTATATGAACGGTAGAGAATCCGGATATGACTTCAAGACATGTAATGACTTTCCTAAAAACTTTATTTCATCCCTACCAGGTAAATTAGATTATAGTAATATATTTTTGAGATACAATGAAGTTTCAATGATTTCGGTTTATCCTTCCGATAATCATCATAAAAAAACTTGTTTATGAAAATGAACACAACCCTTTTTGATTGAATTTGCAAGAACAATTAAAACACTCAAAATCTCTCAAAGAATTAATCTCTATTCGTAAACTTCTTATTCTGATCATTTTAGTTTATAATCACTAAAAGACATCATCAAAAATTACAAAAATCCGGCAGTTTTCATGCGAAAAATCGCATATGTTCATGTTCCTGAAAACTGACACGGTCCGAGTTATACTTGACCCATGGGCCGAGTTACTTCTGACACGGTCCGTGTCAGTACTAACACGGGTGAGTTGCACCTGACACGGTTCGAGTTACACCTGACTCAGGTCGTGTCAAATTTCTGTACAAAATGAATTTTCTCTTAGAAAAATAATACGGTTCGTATCAAATCCAACACTATCTATGTCAAGTTTCTGTATCAAAAACTCCGTTTAGTCAGAACGCTTGTTCGGACTGAGTTGTACCCCACTGGGGTGATGTATACTTCACTCTCACCGAACTATTTCACTACCAACAATAAACATATATTTGACCGATCCATATCATATCCTTTATGAATATATAACTCCTCCATCATATTCATAATACATATACATATAAATCTCACGAGAGATTATTCCGATCAACCGTTTATTCTAAAATATCCAACATATTGATCATCTCAATATCGTTTTTCTAAGCGAATCTCATCCTTCCTCCTACTTTTCTATTAGGAGACCCATATGTATGTATATATAGTTTTTGTATTTTCGTCAATCTCTCATTTTCATAGTTTTCCGTCCTATAAGAAAGAAATTGGATGCGCATGTTTTCTGTAAGGGATACTTTAATGAAAACAATTTTGATTTGCTGTACGTTTTACGTCTTAATAACTCCACGTTTATACTCAAATTTTTAGCGTCTTATTTTCCGGTGAATGAAGTAAAGATACCGGTCTCCGGCGTGTCAAATACAAAACATTATAATATTGTATTATAACAAGAACAAACAAATTGTTAGCATTTAATCAAGTAACGGATTGGAGGGCCTGCCAAGTAAAAGTGCATTTAGTTCCCCGGATACTTTTCAAGTGTATATAACAAAATGGAGACAACAAATGGAAAAAGAAGAGAAGCAATTATTACAACGCAAGTCACGCAAGTAACGGTGTCCTTTCTATGATGGCCCATGTCTTTTCCGTAATTAGTGCCTTAATCCACACAAGTTATTACCAACTTTATAACCTTTTTCCCTTCTTTATCTTCTCTAATTTCCTCCATGTCCATACATCTTAGTGTCACTTAGTTCTTGGACTTCACCAGTCAAGCCCTGTCGACCGCTAATGTCTACAAGAAACCCTCTTCTTCTCTTCTCCTTTCTCTTATGCTCTATCTTCAACATTTCTCTCAGTTTCTTGACCGGCAAGTCTCCGAGATTCGATCAACCGAAGGAGAGATTCGACGAGTTATGGCTCCCGGGTGAAGATGATCCGATAAGCGCATTGCAAACGAGACGTGAGCGTCGT